GTTCAGTTTTAGGTGTTCTTTATACATTCTGGATACTAACCCTTATCAGATAGATGATTTACAAATATTTTCTCCCCTTCTGTGGGTTGCTTTTTATTCAGTTGATAGTGTTCTGTGATGCACAAAAGTTAATTCTGATGAAGTCTAATTTATCTGTCTTTTCTCTCGTCTGTTTTTGTCTTATCTGAAAAAACCATTGTCTTTTCCAATGTGTGAGTTTTTTTCCTCTGTTTTCCTCTAAGAGTTTTATAGTTTTAGCTCCTACATTTAGGTCTTTGATCCATTTTGAGTTCATGTTTGTATGATGTATAAGGGTCCAACTTCATTTTTTTTTTAAGATTTTTATTGGGGAATCAGAGAAGGGGAACAGACGAGTTGCTGTCCTTTTGTTCTTCGGTCTAGTTGTGGAGTATGTTGCTTCACTGGCCCATGTTGGTATTATGATCATTGCGCTCTTCCCGGCTGAGGCAGATCGGTCGCCGGCCATCGGACTGACGGCTGCTTATGGCAGCTCATGCTGGCTGCCAGCCACGGATGGTAACTTATAGCAGCCCACTGAAGCCCCACTGCAGCCTGTGCCATTGCTGGCCACTCACAGCAGCCCAGCTCCAGGTCAAGCTGCTGTTCACCATCTTAGCTGTAGAGGGCACAGCATCACTGGACCATGTGGGAACCGAACCAGCAGCCCTGCTGCTCTGAGCTTGCAACCCAACTCTTAACCAACTGAGCCCCTCAACTGGCCCCCAACTTCATTTTCTATATACTTTTTAAAATTGTTCTTTAAGTGATTACTCCAAAGATTACAACATGCATCCTCTACTTATCAAAGTCTGATATCAACTGGTACATGTATGAAGAGAGTTAACGTGGCAGGTCTTAGACTGCTATCCTTAGAAAAGCCTGTTTGCAAGGTTGGCCTGTGGCTGGTGTCTAGAAATTTGGATTTTGGGAGGGTTCCCACCAATACCAGAGATGATAAGAGTGGCTTACTGTGTCAACACTGTATAAACAATATGGTTTATGCTAAACAGCTGCTTTCCTTCTCAGAGTCTGGAACTTTGGTACATGCTAAATCATGGGTACCCATGTGACCAGCCCCAAATAAAAACATTGGGCATTGAGTCTGTATTGAGCTTTCCTGATGGTCATTTCATATGTGTTGTCATAACTCACTACTGGAGGAAATAAGCACGTCTTGTGTGACTCCTCTGGGAGAGAACTCCTGGAAGCTTGTGCCTGGTTTCCTCCAGGCATTACCCTATGAGCCTCTTCCCTTTGCTGATTTAGTTTTGTATCCTTTCGTTGACTTAAATCATAGCCATGAGTATAACTACATATGAGGAATGGGATTTCTCCTAGTGAATCATAGATTAGGGGGGTGGGACTGAAGACCTCCCCAACATAGTACATTTTACCCTCTTCCCAAACCACAAGGTGCTACTTAATCTCCTCTCAACATATATACTACTGTCATATATATTTTAATATTAGACCATATAAAATACTATTCCTGTTTTATAGCATCAGCATTCATACCACATTTTGATTGTTTCTTTTGCATCTCTGACCTTTCATCTAAAATCACTTTCCTTCTTCCTAGAGAACACTCTTTAGTATTTTCTTTACAGTGGGTCTTCCTCTAAGTAATAAATTATTTTTATTTTTAATTAAAAATACATTTATTTCACATTTATTCCTGAAGGCTCTTTTCCTGAGTATAGAATCATAAGTTTGTAGAATTATTTGATGGCTTCTGTGAAAAATCAGATGTCAACCTAATTGTTGTATACTTACAGTTGATTTTTTTCCTGTCACTGCATTATCGATTTTTTTGGCATTAATTTTTCAAGCACTTTTTCTCTGATGTACTGAGGTCTTTTCATTTTTTCTGCTTGGAATTTGAGAGGGCTTAAATTGAATTTATGGCTTGATGTTCTTCATCATTTAAAAACTATTTCAACCATTATTTTTTCAAATATTGTGTCTGCTCTATTTTCTTCTTTTCTGGTAAAAACCCCAATTGTACAAATAATTAGGCCTTCTCGCTATATATTTATGTCTCTTACCTTTTGTGTTTTATCTGTGCTTCATTCCATAGTTTATTCTGACCTATCTAATTGTCACTTCGACTATCTAATATGGTGTAGAATCTACTGAGTTACTAAGTTATTCTATTTTTCATTAATGAAGTTTCCATTTTTAAAATATTTTCAGTTCTATATTGAAATTCTCAATCCTTTCTTTTGTCTCATTGACCATAATACATATGTATCAGTTAGCTTTTGTTGTGCAATGTATCACCTTCAAAACTTAAAAGCTTAAAATGACAACCATCTTTTTGCCAGTCAGCAATGGGCTGGCCTCACTTGGGTGGCTCCTCTCGTCTTGGTTGGGCTCAGTCGTGCATCTATGGACAGATGCCAGGGTGGGAGGTTGCTCTGCTGATCTATGCTAAGTTCTGTCACATGTTTAGGGACAGCTGGCTGTCAGCTGGAATGCCTTGGCTGTCCTCCATCTAGTCTCTTGTGCTCTAGCTGGCCATCTGGGCTTCTTCACGTGGCTGCAGCAGATTTCCAAGAGAGAGCAGAGTAATCAGGCCTCTTGGACTAGGCTTAAAAATGGCAGGACTTGTCACAGAAAATCGCCACCCAGATTGAAGGGGGTGGGAAAACAGACTCTACTTCTTGATGCGAGTAGCTTCCAAGTCACATTGCAAAGGGGCATGGATATAGGGAGGGGAAAATTGTCATCATTTTTGCAAACAATGTATCATATATACACATTCTTTTTAAAGTGTGTCCGATAATGTAAGTAGCTGAAGTCCTTGTGGGTAGTTACTATTATTTAGTGTTGATGCTAGCTTTCATTCCTGTGGTCTTATTTCATTAATTAGTTTTTTGTTTTGTTTTTTACTTCTGTTGAATTTATTCAGCATAACTATAGAGGTATTGTCTTTATGCTGCTACACACAGACACAGCACAATGTCCATACTTAGCCCAAGTGTATTCTTTCTGAGGCTCATTTGTATGTCTCCATATGCCACAGGCCATCATTTAAATAATGGATATTTTCAACACCAATCCCTTTGTTGACTTTCTCAGTATCTTCTACAGACATTTTCATAACTCCAACACACACAGCATACCGTTTTCCTTCTGCCATGATTGCAACAATTGTATCCACTGCAGCAGGGTAAAGCTTGGCTCCAGGAGAAGTTAAGCCTGGACACATGATATTTGCTCCACTGAGTACAAATTTGATGGCTCCTTTATCAACTTGCTGGTGTGGCAGGATAAAAGGGTATTTGTGAAGCAGCCTTAGAGTTGGATAAAAAGGCCCTTCTCTTTGTCTGAAAAATAGTAATTCTCCATTTACTGTAAGGATTTCTATGTTAATGGCATCGCACTAATTTAATATGATTAGTTATTTTTGATTGTACACTTTTATTTACAAAAGAAATAGTATGTGTAAAAGTGTTAGTAAAAATAATGAGGCCTAACATGATATGACTTTCTTACAGAAAATTTTTATCTTTATTTCCTCTAGGCAGAACTAGTAAATCCAGATCACCTCAAACCAACTCAGGAATAACTGCTGAAGCTGAGTTACAGTCCCTCTGACAAACTATTTCTGGCTCAAAGTATTTCCTAGAGTACAGCCCGGTGGGGGTCCCAACCCCACTGCTCAGAATTCACCAAGGCCCCATTGCCCTGGCTTCAATGCTTTCAGAAGGATGCCCTAAACTAGTGCCCCTCTGCAATTACTACCAGGGGAAACTGGCCCCAGGCAATGGGCATATTTCCAAGACTCATCTTCTCTATATGCTGCCCAGTAATTCATCATCATCTTGATAGCTCTCCAGTGCCTTCAAGTTTATGTTCTTTACATTTATTAAGCTTTTCCAGCTGTCTTCCATGGAAAGTGGACTTTTTTCACCCAGATAGCTATGACTGGAGACAAGTCCCCATCCTCTATTTTTTTTTTTTTTAGATTTTTATTGGGGAATTGGGGGAATGGGAACAGCGCTGGGGAATTGGGGAAGGGGAACAGACAAGTTGCTGTCATTTTGTTCTTCAGTCTAGTTGTGGAGGACGTTG